ATACAACGGTTTCCGTGGACGGCGATTGCAAGATGATGAAACAACTGACAGAAGTTGATCAAGTGGGAGTTCCATCTTCCACAGAGTGGTCTGTCATCAAATAACTAATTATCAATTTCTAAACTTACGATTCTGTAGCGTTGACACTACTGGCCATACACTAAACACAGCGTTGATGTGATGAATATCTAGTATGATAGTTTTCATTAACAACAATAATACTTCCACGTTCATAGACTGATAGCGCCTATAAAACACTGCTAAGAGAAAGGCGAAAAAAAGGATCGCATGGTGTGGCGGTGAACACGTTAGGTCCCGGAAAGGGTAGTAACCAGATTCGATCCCCACCTCAGATACCTGCGGTCCAGAGTTTTGCAAATATCTCAGCATAATTGTAGTTATGTTTTATGTTTCTACAGTTTTCGAAAATATCCCAGATCGAAATCAATAATTATAAATAAACTAGGATCATGTTCCAGTTGTTCAAGCGACAGTAAGCCTTTGAAAGCAATATAAAATTTAGACATTGAATGGGCGATGCAAAGATGAGAATTCACTCATTCATATCTATCCAAGAATCTTCAGCCCGTTCTCTTGTTACCATATCAAAAACGATGACATTGTTCAGAAGAGACTGTTAGTTCTCCTAAGAAATATAATGACCACAAGTCGTACCCAGTTCCGAAAACAACCAGCCGAAGTGAGTCACAAACACCTACGGCCACGCTGTCCATGGTCGCACGTAGAATGCCTGAACCCATTTGACGTCTACTTTGCCGTTCTCAATGTCTATCTGCCGTACAATCTTCTCATCACATGACCGACTTATCTGTTTTAAATGCATGTTTTCGCCTCGGTAACGGAGCATGCAACTCCATATATTCTCCACTGCACGATAAATTTCCATAAAGTGATACGTGCAATCCAAAACTAGATCTCGTTCCAAAGTATCATCTGAAGCCGCGCAAAATATATCATAATGCGCTATGTACTTATGATAATCTCATAGTGATCGCTCGAAAAGCATATTAGGTGCTAACTTCGATGGTCTTTTCAGTCATCCTTTTCGAAGGGATGGTCGTGCATCAGGTTCATTACTGGTCAGTGATTCTTTACCCTCGAAGATAATGCGTAACTCATGAGGATTCCTTCTAGAATTCTTATGTCATATATGGGTTGCTCCTTTTTTGTGCTACTGGCTGTTTGGTTAAATTGAATCACATGAAGGAGATAATAACCTAATCTAGTACCGAGAGACGACAGTACGGTGCTCCAAAGTAGACATGATATTTTACGAAGACGCAACGAGGTCAAGCCACTGAGTACTATGTACGGCAGCGATTTTCCTTCTTCTAGAAACATGAATTTCCACGGGATAGGTGTGCCGTACCTGAACTCAAGTAAGACGGTTCTCATTCTGATTCGAAGTCCCGCGGTCTTCCCTACTATAAGCATCCTAGGTCGGATTTATGGAATTATTTATCCACTTGTACTGGCTGTTCCTGCTCTTAAAGTATTCTAAAGCGAATTTATAAAACGGTTTTTCGCAGCTGAAAACTCTACCCAACCAATCATGAAACAAGTCTAATTCACTTACATCGAATGTACATGCTGAAGGGCAGTAGACGATGGTACTGACGATGACGTAGAGGTTAAGGGCAGAGGTTGCCACCTGGAGATTACAGAACCCTTGCGAATCAATATAGTAGGAACTGGATGGGTGTAGAAAAAAGCCTACGGCTTGGTTAAACAATGATCAACGTTAGAAGTGAATGCTCTGACACTGTAGGTGCAGTGAAAGAGAAATGTTCTGTCATATCGTAGAGGCGTTGTTTTGATCAGGGTTCGATAGCACCCAACGAGCCACAACAAAACCCCCACGTCAGCTTTTCAAAAACAAAGAACCCTAGGACAAGGATAACACAAACTGGACATTATAGATAGCCAGATGGACAAGAGAGGAAACTCCTTGTAGTAGAAAAACAAAAGTCCTCTAAGCAGTAAAGAATAACATAAACATACATAACATCTGGAAATTTCCAATCTCTGTTTTCAACTAGTCAACTAAGGGGCATTCAGCAATAATGATGTAACATTCTTCGAATACTTAAGGCTTGAAGGTCAAGAATTTAGTTCGACATATCAAATGTGATTTATCTCATTACTGTCAAACCACCAACACAAATTATCGCCGATACTATAAAAAGAAAGGACGACGAATGAAGAAACTGTGTGAACAGACCTTCAGCAGAGGAATGTTGAAGTAGTGAAATGCTCGTGAATACGTGTTTTCTGCGAATCATCTTCCGGATTGGGCCAGATCTGGAAGGTTGCAGCAGATGCCGTCAGAAGACGGCGTGGATCACGAGACACTTTATCTCGAACGGGCGCGGTGGAAGCGTGAATGGAAGCACCAAAGCGGACTCCGTGCATCTACACACTTGGCCGTATTAAGTAGGGGAGGCAAGTGCCACTGGAGTGCCTCAAACGCGAAAGTAATGGCCCGTCATTCACATCGACACCACCGGCGCCAAAATGTTCAGGAAAACAGTCCGTAGGTGAAAAAACTTGTTGAACTGCTTGCTCTCACTAAACACTGTACACATTAGGTCACAGATGTTGCTGTGGAGCATATTTTTAGGTTTAGAAACTGATGTGCAGAAGGGTAGCAATGGTCAGGCATCTCATTCCTTATCATAATTTAAAGGATTTGGAGGTTAATGTAGCGTAAGTGTTTGGAGACGCCCTGCAACACACATGGGATCGACCCCAGGCCCTAGGCTCACCACGCTTTCCATCCTTCCGGGATCGACAAATTGGTACCAGACTTATATGTGAGGATAGCAGCACTGGCTCGATACAGTTTCATCCTTTATCGTAATTTAAGGCGTGGGGGCAGGGCATTGGTTAGAAGTGACCTCCACTACATATGTTATCGTTGGTTCGAAAGCACTCCGGACTCACCACGCTTTCATCTCTCCAGGTTTGGCAGATTGGTACCCGATTTGTTTCGGTGAACAGTTCTGTTTATCATCATCTGAAGTAGTTGCCTGTAGAAATGCCGCATTTCTGAAGAGAATCTTTCGAAGTCCATCATGTAGACACACATTGAGATGCTCTAGGGGTACCACTTCAGAGCTTATCTTCTCAGCATTTAGCCTCCGAATACGCCGATCAATAAGTACTAAATGTTCATGTTGGGTTTACAATGGAACCGGTAAGATATCAAGTTAAGGGAAGAAATTTGAAGTGCTGAGTTCTGAGAAAAACATGGTATAGTAAAAACAAATCTACTGGGACTATCTATTAAATTTATGTTTAATTTGTACATTGTTTAAGACAGTAAGTGCCCAACCATTTCCTTGGGTTAGTTTTGTTCACTTCCCACGAAACCACAGGACCAGAGCGGTTAGTTGACCAAGGCTTTGAACAGGTTTAAGACCGGTAGGTCCATAGCTATTGAGGATGAAAATTTACTATAAGATAAATCCGATACAACACTGGCCGAGATACCGACGAATTTCACCTGCTCTAGAGCCATTTTCCATGAGTCTTCCACTAAGCTCCACTATACGTGAAGACCAACGTTCACCTGGATGGGTAATGCATTGTGAGAGTATCTTAAGCGTTCGTACCAGGGTGGAGATACTTTTTCGATTATTATAGACAGGTAGACCAGATACGAGTTAATGACCATTCTGATCCAAAGTACGTGTTGGGTCTCTCAAGGCTGAGGACTGCTTCTCTTTCTTGACACTGTTTTCTGTCAAATAAGTTATTATCACTGGACAATCATATCGACAACAACCATCCTGCATAAAAGAGCATCGCCGGATAGGATTGCATCACTCGAGCCACGCTCGACTAAAGAAGATCTGACTCGTTACGACGACAAAGACACTACATCGGGAAGATGAACGGCTGCTGTGGACCATCAACCCGGATCATCAGCTCCCAGGAAGACGAAGTCGAAACCTTTGCCGAATAAGCATCTTTATCAACCACTATCATGCCGAGATATTTGAAGAACTCATACTCCAGACCATATTCGAACGCGCCATTAGCCTTTCTCAGGGCTCACGTGTTATTCACTGCACCACTGAGGCCCTTACTATCTCGGCACAATCGTGGTACTATTCTTCTATTTTGCATCATTGAGATACTATCACTCGAAATACTCCAATAAATACTGCATTCCTTTCTGAATGAAACGACCTTAACCCCGAATAATTAGGACTGCTGCACTGAAACGATGCAAATCGTGGGGCAGTCGCGAAATCTCGTCCATTCCGGACGAGTTCTTGGTCGTGTGTTGTCCAGCATTCATTTCTAGTTCGTTATTTACTCGTTGTTTTTCGTGGGTCTTAATTTCCTTCTGTGTTTGTTTCACCATTTACTTGCACCTTTGCACAGAGATTCTTTTTAAACCTTCAGGAATCTGGTCGTTATCGATTTTTCTCCAAATATAACATTAAAATTGTAATGGTTTGCCCCAGAAATTGAGAAAATTCTGACAACACTATTTCATACGTATTGATCTTACCAGCAGTTATGTGGTTGTTGCATTATGAAAGCGCTTCTTGCTTCATGAGGATCTGTTTGATTGGTCGTGCTTGTTAACCCTTGATTAGTAATGGGCTTAGGAAACGGGATTAGGAGACTTCTTGGAGATCCTTACGATTAAGAGGTTCCTTGCAATATTTATTGGCAGTATAATTCGAATTATAACGACATTTCATGTTGCTGGTGGTATTTTCTGTTCCTTCTTTCAAACTATGGGGTCATACGATTCAGGCTATGCTAACTAAAAGGGTTAACTTTTTGGTATCTGCATACTCATGAAGCAGATTAGGTCTTTAAGAATAAGTAAAAATGTTTCGAGATCTCATGGTTAAGCCGTGAGACCTATTTTCCTGATTTTTATCTTATATGGAAACATTTTTAAGGTCGTTCATTCTTTTCAGGCTTCTATTTATTTATGTGAGAGATTGGGAATCAAAATGGGGCTTTTCCCATTCTTAACTAGAGGCTCAGGAAATGTAGTGCATGCGAAGGTGACCACAATGGATGCAGATCTCGATCGAATTGTCATCGAGGTATAACTTTGTCGATTTCGTTTATTTATCCCTCTTAGTCCTTTAAACTTATGTGTCTGCTATCGTCTAAGTTTGATTTTTGTAAAATTGTCTTTGTATGGTTATGGGGACTTTATTTATAGTGTTCCTGAGAGTTAGAAGTTTATTACAAACTTTTTTTATTCAAATCTTTATATATCTTCAGTATGGACGCGTGTGGCGCAGTGGCCGGAAGCGCTCCTGAAATACACGTGGGATCGTTTCCCGCGCCCATGGTTCACCAAGCCTTCCATTTCTCAGGGTTCAGCAAATTGGTACTAGACTTGTCTGGGAATATAGCAGCACTGACTCGATACTTTGGTAGGCCACCGCGAATCATTGTAAAGGCCAAATTGCATTAAATCACCTCCAACAGTTCTTAATGAATTCGAATGCGAAGCCTATCCCTAAGGGATTGATCAACGCCGAGAGCTTTATCCTTTTATTCTTTACATATCGTCAGTGGACACTTTTCCAATACCACATGAGAGCGGCGTTATCCCCAACTTTTCATCAGAGCTTTCAGAACGATTTTATTTTGTCTCTGAATTGTTGTTTCGGTTTTCGAATGTGGATTTGAAGTATCCTAGTATAAGTACGACTGTTTTTTCTCGGTTTCGGTCTATAGATGTGTTACAGTACAATTCCATGTTTTCCATTATCAGTGCTACAAAACGATGCTAATACTATAGAATTGACTATGTTCTAAGCTTTTTATTTGTAGGCAAGTTGGACAGGTCGCCACTTGTTTGACGCTGTGTGCCGTATCATTGGCCTCCGCGAGGTCTGGTTTTTTGGCTTACAGTTTAATAACAAAAAGGGGTTGCCTTGCTGGTTACAAATGGATAGAGAGGTAGGTACTTGTATTGAAATACTCAATCACATTGTTTCCATGAGGTTAATGCGTTGTATAAAAGTGAACTAATCACTTTAGATTCGAAAGCAAGACGTACCACGAGGAGAAGATGGGTGTATGCAGTTTTTGTTCCTAGTTAAATTTTATCCTGAAGATGTCGAGGAAGAGCTCATTCAGGTGTCGACTTCCGTAGTTTCCTTATCTTGTCCTTTGAGAGCTCTAAACTTTTAGATTTGGGACTTACCGAAAGCTATAGTAGGAAAATATTCTCACTTTAGGATCTCACAAGGCATCTATTCTTCCTGCAAATAAAACAAGCTATTTTATCCATGGATCTTTATTGCTCGCCAGAAGCATCTGTGCTTCTTGCAAGTTTTGCTGTGCAAGCTATTGTACGTTTGTTTGTTCTTCTAATTTACTTGTTTTCTTAGGTAACTTTGTCTACTATCTGCTCTCGCAAGCTTTTCAGTTTAACTCTTGTCTAGTATTTTCAGAATGGGGATTGTACAGAGGATATAGGACCGCTAGACTTAGACAAGTTGTTGCCAAAAAGTGTAATTGAACAGTACGATATGAGCGCTGATATGTGGAGAGAGCGTATAAAGCGATGGTGGATAAATAATCATGGTCAGACAAGGTGAGGACATCCAGTTTGCCACTCACTTTTTCGAATTTTTTCTCATGTTGTAATTTTTCTGCAGTGATGAGACGTATTGTTTCAGAGAGGATGCTGAAATGGAATATCTTCGTGTCGCACAAGATCTAGAGATGTATGGAATACTCTACTATCCGATTTGTGTACGACTCTACAACTGATCTTTGTTTTTAGCTAATTATTCTTTCGTCTTCTAATTGATTTTTCTATGATTTTTTCTTTTCTTTACAGAATAAGAAAGAAACTGATCTACACCTTGGTATTTCCGCACAAGGTCTTGGTATTTATAAGGGTTCAAATCGAATAACACCACGACCTTTCTTTTCTTGGAGTGAAATCAAAAATATTTCGTTTAAGAACAAGAAAGTAAGCGACCACCTGCTGTCAATAAATGAAAACTACATTCTACTTAAATTTTTTAGTTCCATATGAAAACTGTCGACAAATCCACGATATCATTTCGCGCTCAAGAAAGAACCATAAATCCATCGATCCTGGACTTGTGTATTGGAACACATAATCTTTACCTTAGAAGGCGACAACCTGATACGTTAGAGGTGTCTTTCAGTTTTTATTTTCTGCAAATCCTTTAGCCTTAAAAGGTTTTCTCTGTTTTCAGGTGCAGCAAATGAAGGCATTAGCTAAGGAAGAACGGGCTCGGAGACAGGTGAGACGGGTGTTTATAATTAATCATGAAAAATTTCGTCGTTTTGTTCTGAAATATTTTTCTTGGTGGCAATGCTTTTGATCTAGCAAGAACTCTCTCGACTAGCTAGAGAGCGAGAGCAACGACTTCAAGTGGAGAATGAACGAAATCAGCTTAAGGCTGAGGTCGAAAAGATTGCTGAGCAGTTGGCACAAGCTAAGGTTTGTTGTGTTAATTCAAGAAGTTTTTTTTGCGGATATCACTAATCGGTACAACTCATTCAGAGGTTATGATAATTCTCTAATTTTATTATTTTATTCCCAATTAAAGGAAACAGCTCGAAAAACTGAAGAAACCGCTGAGCTGCTGGCAGAGAAGGCGCGTGCCAGCGAACAAGAGACCTTATTATTGACGAAAAGGGTCAGTGAAGCGGAAGCGGAGTGCCACAGGTTGCAAATGAACCATGTCAAGGTGAGGATACCTCTTACCGCTCTGCCAGGAGTTATGTAGTGCAATAAGGCAACATTCGCATTTCTACGTTCACTGCTTCGGCATCAGTAGAGTTACGACATCTTAACTGACAACATTACTACTGGTTACGTAAACGGTTGTTGGTGATGGTTTTCCTGATTGCTGTTCCAGTCGGAGGAGGCTTTGATGAGAATGGAGCGTAAGGCTCGTGAAGCGGAACTATATGCGCAGAGGATTTCTATGTCGTTAGCCGATGTAAACAGCAAACCTCATTATGCGAGTCATGCTCTTATTACGGAGTCTTCGGTATAGATTCATCCGCTGTTTTGATTGGTATTGTCTTTAGTTTTTTCTTTTGAATCTTCCAGATGTGGCCATTGTCAAATATATCGTTGCAAAGCACGCTGTCTCACCATCAGTTGATGATCTCGGGCGGATCACAAGAAGGTAGCGATAGACTAGGATACGCAGATCGATCGTCTGTGCACACGCCACAACATCCTGCTATTCAGCTCTCTAGCACACCTTTCTATAGAGCGGTACAACCGAATATTGCGCAGGTTAATGCTGTTCTTTGTGGGGCACAGATGTTAAGCTATGCCTTGTCAGGATTTAATAACCTTGTTCAGATGATGCATGCCCCACCTCCTCCTGATCCATCGGTAAACCAGCGCATAGAGTTTCATAATATACGTGGCGAACTGGAAAAATCTAGGTATTTTTTTCCGCTTGCACCGTCCATGTTTACTATTGCCTTTTGTTTTTTTTATATTTTTACGTTAAATCAAGGTAGGTGCAGAGTCAGTTAAGCTTTGCTTTAACGCTGGTTATCGAAAGTTGTTTTAGGCATGACTTTTCTGAAAAAGCACGATTATTTAAAGAAAGACTCAACGAATTTCGAAATGAGATCGATGCAATGAAAAGAGAAGATAGACAGACTGAACATGATGTGATCCATGCGCATAATGTTCAGAACGGCTTTGACAAATTTGCCACACTCAGAATGGTAGGTTGGGGTTGCAAAGTTACATTTTTTTAAAATCTAAGCAGGCGTATTTCATCCAATGCTTGTCTACGTTTGATAACGAATGGTTCAAGTCAATTATACAAATCATCGTTATACCCTGTATTCCATAATTTCACCCCTATATTGGAGTTGTCTGTAGCTTTCTTTGCATACTTTTTATTGCTTTTGCATCTTTTTGCGTGTTAATGTAGCGCTTCTGTTGTCGAAATGTTGCTAAATAATGCGTCGTTAAAGGCCAAGTGACCTACGTTTCTATCAGAACTTTTTTAGGAGAAGATTTCATGAAAGTAGTCTTAAACTTTCTTCAAATTTTGTAGCATAAATCGAAGAGCGCTAGCTCACTCGAGTCATTCGATGAAGTAGGACTATGGTATTGGTGGGTTTTCTGGTGGTGTGAAAAAAGGTAGCGGCAGGATTTCGTAGAAAACGAAGTTGTTGAGGTATACTGCAAGAAATTCACTTGCTAGTTAAAGACGATGAAAGAGACTTACTGATCACTAGGCGATGTAGCTATGTTAAAGACTGTGCAGAACTTAGTTCTTTATCGGAGTTGAGTAGAAATCTTGCCGCTGTCTGACATTGTGATTGGTGTTGAGGTTTTGTCTCAAATTTTTTTATTAGTTTTTTTATATGAAAAAAGAACAAGTTTCAGTGCCGTAGAGTTCGCTCTTTGAAGCACATTGTGTTAATGTTATAAAGAACCTTTTTTTCGTCGAAATTTTTGCAACTTCTTTAATCAAATCTTGCATGGTTTAGTTTTTTTTTTCTTTGAACGTTTACTGGGAAGAATACTTGGTTGGTTATTGCCTACCAATGGTTTAACGTCTCATCGTGGCTTGGAGGTGATCCTGGTGTCAGGCTGCGATGTACAGCGGGATTCATCCCTCCGAAAGAGTCACCCAAACAGGAGTCCGGCGTTTCCAAGGAAACCTAGGAAAGAGTAAACCAATACTACGGTCCACCACCATCTTGGTATCAAACCAGTCACATGGTTGCAAATCTCACTCTGATCCACAAAGACTGCAACTGCTTATGTTGATGACGAGCTGGAGCAAACTTTGGCTAAGCTGACCTGGGGACTCCAGGAAACCACAATGGCTAAACCGGCAAAACTCGGAGAAAAAGAACATGGTGGAGCCTGCACAACCAATGAGAACGAGCGATCCAGGTATCCAAGTAATATCACTGAAATAGATGATAAATGCCAGAATAACAGCGTCGGTCAATTTCGCTTATCACGGCAGAAACCGTCTCATTTCATGGTAAAGGACAATGTTTGAATTTCATCTGATTAAGACATTCGCGGTGATTTATTGAAAACATGACAATAATATTTACCGGTAACAACCACGGATGACGGTTGCCTTAAACGCATTCCTAGTCTATTTCATAGTTGCTGTGAGCATGACTTATAGTTTTCGTTGTTTTCATGACCATTGGTGAACCAGTGCCTTGTGTTTTCCATGGTCCGTGTTTGTATGTTTAATCTCCGGAATTGCAAATCCTTCGTTGGTAATCATCTTTTTAAACTCATGAAGTTCTGTATTGTGGTTGATGCGTTTTTATAACTAACATTTGTTGACAACTAAATTCGACTTAGTCATTTAAAATTTCAGAGCTCTCGTGGTGCTCCCAAGCAGCGTGTCGAAGTCTTTGAAGGTTTATGAGTGAGTGAATATTGAAGGGATGTGTTGATTTTTCTCTGCTACTCCTATCAAATTTCGTTTAATGTTTTATTTCTGCATAAGAAGCTGCTGGATATGTCTCAATGACGTGTTATTCCTTCTAGATTACCATACAGATTTCTATTGTTCGGGAATTTTTTCTTATTCTGAACTTGTAAAGTTGTGAAATTCCTTTGCACTTGATCCCCTCTAATCTTACCATTTTTCCTTTTTTTGTGCTATTTATATATTCACACCGTCCTATGTGTTGCCATTTTTCTAACCTCGTCATCTTCGTGTGTCTAGACGTTTATTAGGTTCATAATTTAGTTGCTTTCACTTCACCTAAACTCAAGTTGACAATCATACATAGTATGAAGGAGTATACTTTATGAAGTCCCGACTTCTTATATAGTTGTAGATTTCATTTATTACTGTTTAATATAAGAAGGGGCGGTCCAGCGATTCTTATTTCATATGTATGACGTCATACAATTATCAGTGAGTTATTTATGTCTCTAAGTCAATGCTGTAGATGCATTGGGCCACACTTCTAGATGACTTCTGATTATAACACTGATATTTGATACAAATCGAAAGCTGCAAGTGATTTTTTATGATAAATTAACCTGCTAATCTATTGCCTAACTTTTTGCTCAGTTCACAACTACTCATCATTACGAGCGATCATTGCCTTATTTGTCAGCTACTTAACCTTTGTCCTTTTTTTAGTTGTTCTATTGCGGTTTTTTAATGTGATAAAACTATGGCTATTTTTTACTATCCACTCCTAGTTGCAGCTATCTATATCTCCGTGATTTTTTAGTAGCCTAAGGAGACTGCATTCATTAAAAAGTGAGAAGCTGCTCAAAGCTTGTCAGAATTGTTTTATTTCATCTTACGTGTTAAGATGAGTTTTAACTTATACCTTTACAGACCGGCGGTAACCTTAACTTAATCCGTTCGTTAAATTTTGTTAGTCACTTGGTTTTGGATCATCTATAGTATTGGGTGTATTCGAGTCAAGGTATATAAGCATGTCTGGAGTTACGGTGAAGAGAATGAGCAGCACAGTCGACAAATCACCTGTTCTCAGGAAAGTCAAAGTTGTGGAGACAGCGCCGACTATATCACTAGATGCCTCGGTGAGTGTTACAGTTTTCTAGTTAGTGAAAGACTTGTTTAAAATTTAAGTGGACTCTCTAAGTAAATGTAAGTTTGCATGGATTAAAACTAATCATAATGGTGCTGAGATATCTGTAAAACTCCGGACCGATACTGTCTGTGGTGCGGACCGAACACGCTATTACCCTTTCCGGGGACTAACGCGTTAACTACTACACCATAGGAATCCTTTGTTTCGTTTTTATCTCATTGTTTTATTGAAAAGATTGGTCGTCGTCATGTGTAAAATTTCTGCGTTTAGGATTGAAAATAGATGTTTTTAATTAAATTGAAACTGATAACAGCGTAATGTTATTCGAGAAAAAGTACCCCGGTATAGCAGTCACAGAGTGTTCGTAGATTTTACTGTATGTAGAAGTGTTCATGTGTACTACCTTACCAATCTTGCAAAACCCTGGGGTATAACGTAGTGTTTATTTAGGAAATGGTGCAGAAATCGTTTGATAAAGAAGTGTAAATATTCTATAAAAATTTCAAGGACTTTCACAAGATGGAAGATGAAATAGCACGTTCTACAACACATGCTGAATTAGAGAAATGTTTTCTTGCCGAGTCATCCGTGCTCAGAGCTGCGTTGCAGAAATTTATCGACGGTGACGACAAGGTAAGCACATGAGAGGCGTTTATTTTTCTACATTATGCATTTCTTATAAAGCTATATGATTGAGTTGCACATGATACTGATTGCGTGTAGATAGAACTTTATTGAAATCGAGCCACAGTAATGGTCTAAACCTTTTCTATGGCAGTAACTTGGCCACAGAAGTGACTGCAAAGTATCCTACCGGTTCATGTCCAGCAAATACTACCAGAAATACTTTCTGTCCTATGCTAATTTAGTACATCCTATTTCACTCCTAACGTTTTAGCCATGTTCTCCTGATGTCTTACTGAACATAATTAGAATGCGTCGGTACTCCAGACTTGCACATTACGCGACAGCACAGTTGCGAGCCGAAACGATGTCGAGATTGGAACAGGTTATAGCTAAACCCTTTCATCTTTCTTCTTTCCTTTCATTTTTCTTTTTTCTGTTTGTGTTGAGTTGAGGTCCATTGTGGGGCTTGGTTCCTACGTAGCAGAATACCCTTAGTAGTAGTGCTAAAAAAGGTGTTGGTGGTTGAAACCCCAACGATCTATCAGTTTCTGGCTTTTTGACAGAATCTGAAAGAAATGCGAAGCGTTATGCTCTTCATGTTCCTTTAGTGAATAATAGGGACCGCAATTCCTGGTGTGCATTAGGAAGAAACCGGATTTATTATTGCCGACCTGAGTTGCATAATAATCAACTGGTCTTTAGGTGATAAATGTGTTGTTATAGAGATTTTAGGTGGAAGCGAAATATCTACACCTCCAAAATTCATCAAGCGAAATACAACATTTGCAAAAGGAAATCAGTCGATGTTTGCAGTTCAGGTTTGTTTTTCTCTGTTTATAATTCTTTTGATTAAGGAGTTATTTTATGGTTTTAAATAGCTTTTTTTGAGAAAAGAGTAACAAAACTCATGTGGGATTAGATGATTTTGGTTGTAGTACAGAGGCAGTGTATTTTCACTGTATTGAAAAATGGTCGTGAACCAAATCAGTTGTACAGAGTTTCCTTATATTTATTTGTTGGAATATATTGTTTAGCGCTGGAGACGAAGAAATTGACCTTGTTTCTTTGGACGAGTTCTATGCTTCAGCCCCTGAAAGCATATCTCGACCTGAAGTAACGAAAACCAATGAACATGAACAGCGTTTAGCAAGGTTGACATGGGAAGTAGCACAACGGAAGGCGTGAGTTCAACACATAGTACTTTGAATTTCGCTGTGGTAATTATGTATGGCAGTTATATTAACCAATCAATATCACCTGTTTATTAATAAATTTTGCTTCTTTAACGTGTATAGAAAATTGGTCATGTTCAGCTTACTCGACACGTTAACCGAGCAAGAAGGTCGGCGTAACGTTCTTACAAGTAGTATCAATGGCAAAGAACAGCGACTTAAAAGTCTTCGGTCAAAAATTTCTAGTCTAATGACGGTAAGCCATTTATTTTATGCTATAAGAATGTTTTTAAGTTTTGAATTCTACGTTCACCCTATGGAAAGAAGAAACTTTAGAATATTCGGAAATTGTCGTGGTAGGTAGAGCAGAACAACGATGTACAATTTCTCATTCAATTATATGTCTGTCAGTTTCTATTTAATGGAAAAGAAATTTGGCGTCTTTAGAAACCGCCAATAATTGCTTTTCAGGCAGCCAAACCTGTCCAGGAAGCACTAGGTGTGGGTAATGCTTCAGCATCTTCAGCAGAACAACGTTCTCTCTTTTCTTTACTCCCACATGATCTATCAGTGTTATACGTACAAGCTGAGGCCTATCGTGATATTATGGAAGGTAAAATTTACACAGTTGTATAGAACACGACCAATAACATAGACTTGACTTTTCATATTTCTATGTCACCGATTTTTATCTTTTAGCCAATATGTAAGTCTTCATTGAAAAATTATTCATGGTTTTTTAGATTCTGACATGCAAGTTGTAATTCGCGGTGACGCAAACGAGGCATTGCGCCTAAGACGTCGGCTGAAAGAGGAAGTAGATGAAAAAGAGAAAAGTGATGACGATGGTGTGCTCTGCTGTCGATGTTTCATTTTTTCTTCTAACTTAAATAGAAACTTGACTTAATTGAAGAGGCTAGTGATAATGAAGGACGTCATAAAGTTGTTTCCGATCGACTAGAGCTGAACAAGAAAACTATTACTCAGCCACATCCCATTTATTTGAAAATGGATATTGGATGTCAAGGTAGTGCTAATTCAAGCAAATCGGGGTCAGAAATTATTTGAAAAAGTTTAGATGATGTGAAAGTCGCGCTTAAGCTACACTACCTGCAAGAATTGCGGGTGACTTGTATGAAGTATAAGGTTACGGGTAAACTTCCCACATATGGGTAGGTTATCTTGGTCATTTTCTTACAAACAAGTACTAAGTAATAAACAAACGTGGATGGCTTGCTGAAATCTTTATGACACCTACCAAAAAATCCTTTTCTTCCACTGCTTTTCTTTTTCTATAGTTTTCAATTTCCAAACTTTTTCACGTCTAATATTAATTGAATCATGTTATGTCCCTTCTCTATGAAGGTATTTATAGCTTGTCTTTCCTTTATAGCTAAAGAAGTAAGTTTCAGTGGAGTGTCGGCGCCTGAAAACTTGCTTGACGGCTTATTTTCGGGTGATGATGGTATTGATTGCCCAAACCCTATAGGTGCTGCTAAGTTACAACAACTCAAGTAAGTTTTTTGTCATATACGGTCAAAAATATTAATTTGTAGTTACCACCATGCCTACATTTCACTCAGTTAATAATTCAACTATATATTTTAGAATTGGTGTTGATTCGTTCGCTAATAAGTATGGGCGACCCTACCGGTTTGTGCAGTTGCTGACAGGGTCGGCGCCTTTAGCTACTGATGGGGCACTGTTGGAAATGGAAACCAGTGGTATCCATTTAGCTGACGTGCTGCATGGTGTTGTGAAAGCAATTCGTGATAGAGTGGCTGCTAGAGTTAAGCTAGTTCGCCAACTTCTTGCTTTAGGTTAGTGCCGATAGGTACATCTTGCCTTTGGGATCTTTGTAGCTGTTTAGAACGTTCTCCTTTTTTGTTGTTTTCGTTGTGGAAATTTCGTAGAAAACACTAAACAGCGAATAGTACAGAGTCTTCTCCAATGGACGCACTTCGGTCAACAGGTATTCCTTTGAAAATAGTTACGCACATGGCATCATTCAAAATGATAGACGAGGAAACATTCATGGTTAGTTTTTATGCGCTATGGTTTTTTTTTATTTTTTGCGGATTTTATTCCGCCTTTTTCCAATTGTTTTCCTTGTTTGTTTCAAATTTAGTTTCATAAACAATATAAAGGTTTTCTAGTCATCTGTGACGCCAGAAATGCGAACACTGGCTTCACGTGAAGGCGGAGCGTTTTATTTCATGGCTTCATTAGAACATAAGATTGCTAATGTCAAGTGAGGATTTTATTTTCAAGAATATAGCTCTTATTTTTTGTTTATTTTATCCTTCGCTGTCAGAACTACTTTTACTTCTAGTGTTATCTGCTATGTCATGATACCTGTGGATTATCCTAAACAAATTCCTCTTCTCGCTATAGCAGTTACTAAGATGGGAAGCAGGGAATCAGTATCATTCACAGCCACCAATAGTCATGTTATAAAGGTATGGGGTCACATTAAAAAGTTTATAACGATATAGGTTCATCAAGATAGGGTTGGAGTGACTTTCAATTTAGTAATATGGATATTCTTCGATTTCACGCTGAGAGAAATTGTTCTTTAGGCACTTGAAAAGTATGTTAATATTGAATGTATAAAGCAAGAACTTGCTGACGTGAGCACCCTTCTAACACGGCAGTTGGCACATTTGGCCAGTAGATGTGATGTTGTCGTGGACCTTGTGCCGCAGTTCAGCACTGGAGACAACACACAACGTCAGCATCTTTATAGCAGACCATCTCGGTGAGATGTTTCATAAAATGTCCTTGTTTTTATGGAGACAATGATTTACGTCCCTTGTACAGTTAGTGGTTAGGCGGTGATACAAACACTGACTAGGGTAATTGCAACAAGTATGTGCTTTTCTCGAGCGTCGATTGTGCGAATTTTGCGGTTTGACCAACGTCTCATTAACTAGATTAAGTCTGAAGAACATTCTCATAAAAGCACCAAACTAGTCTGTTGTTAGTTTAGCCTTGCGTTTAAATCTATACAGTTCTAAAAAGTTTTTTGTTTTGTTGGTGCAAACAATAAATAGTAGCAGTCGTTTCCTATGAACACGTCCTTTTTTTTCTTACATATTGTTTTTGATGAGCTGACACGATTTCCGGTTATTAGTACGTCTCCCCTTACTTTTCTTCTCTTTTTTTTTTGAGTTTCGTCTGTCATGTTTGTGAACAGAGTGTGGGTGGTCCCATTCTTTAGAAAACGAAAATGGTAAGTGATTTTTAACAGGTTGAGGTTTGGATTGTTTTGACCCTGCCTTTTCAGATAAAATGCTGTATAACAGTACTCCGAAGAGGATGAAATTGCAGAAATAAAAAAGAGCGTGTTAAGAACTTCATGTGAACTCATCAGAGACAATGCTTAATTTCTATGTAATGCCAATTCTGTTTTAATGACAAGGTATTTTGTGAAGTATAACCACAAAGATGCCGAGATGTGAGCAAAACTCAGAACCTCAGGTGCTCTTTGAAGACGCGATTACCCTTTCCGGGGCTAACGTGTTATCCATCACACCAGTTAAGGCCCTTGCTTTGCCTTTTTCTCAGCCAGTTTTTTACTCTAGTGGTGCTATCGGCAATGACCTATCAGCAGTGACGATCTGGGGAGCACAAATGGGCATTGAGAACTTACCGTGATAAAGCAATGCAAGGGCCTCGGTTCGTGCGGTGGATATCACGTGAGCCTCCGGAAAGGGTAGTAATCGAGGGCTCGAAACTAGCCTGAAGTCTCGTGTATTGCCTGTATATCATCACTATCGTTATGGCTGTATTTCATCAAGGACAGTGTATAGAAACATTATAACTCGACGGTTAATACCAATGTTAATTGAATGTCGATTCTTCGCAATGCATACATTTTGTCCTTCACAACTAGAGAACAGTAGGTGGGGAATGAAAAATGTCTATCTCAGCATTTAATGCCACGGTGTTTGCAATATTACTGCATATATTCTCACCCTTTTATTTTTCTAATTAATTAAGTAATTTTACCAGTCGTCTTCTATCATTTCGTTTAAGGGGACGTGACGACGATCTCCCGTTCCACTACTCATCTTCAACAAACGCCTTCTCATTTTAATAATTACTGTCGAATAAACACTTCAACCGATAATAATGTTCGTTTTATATTTCTGATACCAAAAGTTGTATGGTCGCTTCGCTACTTCTTTTGTTTACTTTAGTCCTTGTAATATGTGGTTTAACTTTGCAGCTTAAGCAATCGAATTTGTGCTTTGTTGAAGAAATCCAACTAGAGATTTATTTATTTTTAGACAAACTCTTCATTAACAATTTTAACTTATTATTTACTGCCTACTCTTTTTTAACGGCAGGGTATACATTGTGAAATACAACTTCAATGATTCTGAGATATTTGCAAAACGCCGGACCGCAGGTGTATGCGGTGGGGAACGAACGCGCTATTGTCCTTTCCGGGGAGTAGCGGTTTCACCACCACACCACGCGGGTCCTTCGTTTCTCATGTCTCTCAGCTAATTCTATCGATCAGAACCACCAACTAAGTTATATTTCGCAATGTATACCCTGCCGTTAAAAAAGAGTAGGCAGTAAATGATAAGTTAAAATTGTGATTATAACTGCGGCCTCAGTTTAACTGGGTTCGCTGCCGATTTGGGCCCCAGATCAATTCCGCTGACGGGTGATTACTGATGGCAAAAGATCGATGGAACTAGCTGAGAGACAGGCGAAACGAAGGACCCGCGTGGTGTGGTGGTGGACGCGCTACTCCCCGGAAAGGACAATAGCGCGTTCGTTCTCCACCGCATACACCTGCGGTCCGGAGTTTTGCAAATATCTCTTCATTAACACTTGTGACACTGCGACTGGATTTCAATTAATGCGTGCCCTAAATAATAGCCTCTTTCAACTTGAAGACAACGTCCCAACCTGGTTTTTTAACAACTGATGATAAGTCCTTATTGCAGTAGTTGTATATATGTGATAAAGGTGCTAGTTCGACACCGCTCCGGGCCAACCAAGCCTTTTATCCCTTCGGAAAAGTGGTACTGGATTTGTCTAGGAGCAATTCACTCTCTGTAATCCAAGTTGGAGCGCTCCAGCTCGGCTATCTCAGTACTCCAGAGAGAGTTGCTGGACCGGCATTCGAAGACGTTCAAGGTGAAATGAAAATCTTCAAGCAGCAACCGAACCTACATGTAAAGTTGGAAGATCTTCGTGGACAGTGAATGCAAGGAGACGAATTGAGTGGGAGGAGTGCTGGGATCGGCGCAGTAGACGTGAAGACGGATCAAATAAAATAAATTTATGTGTGCTTATTTACATGTATATTTATATTTTTCTATTTTCTCACTACCACTATACCACCCGCCTGTGCTATACATAAATAAACCTGCTTGCTAGGATACGTTGACGGCCCGTCCTCACTGGTTTTGCGAGTTCCAGTACATTCTCCATTTTTTTTGAATTCTGCTGGTTATGCCATTGTGTTTCCCTAGAGTGCTGTGGTCAGCCTGACCAAACATTGCACTAGGTCATTACCAGCACAGGTACTCGCAGCCATTATATATCAGAGGGTGATTTGCCACCATGCGACTAGTTTAATACCAGGACGGTAGTCGATCCTGGTATTGGTTTACTCTTATCTGGGCTTCATGATGGAAACGTCGAACTCCTCAGCTTGGGAGACCTTGCCGGAAGGATGAGTCCCCCGCTGTGCATCGCATTCAGACACCCAGGAACACTGAGCCACGAAGACGCGGTAAATCGATGAGAGTATATATATATATATATATATATATATTTGTATAATTTCTATACACCATTGTTTAATTTTAAATATGTCTACAACTAAGATTTCGAAAAAATTGGAAACTAGGTCCATATTTGTAAAGCTTCCATCGAAAGTGGAACAACTCGGTACACTGCGGTTACATTGAGTAACATATCATCTTCTACATGCTTAAATAGGATGAAATCACGCCTTTTAAATTGTTTTAATGATCGAAATATGAGTATTTACAAGAGAAAGGAGCGTTTGTTTGACATCATTTGTGTCAGTTATTTTTTTTTCCGAAGAGTCTAAACGTACCCGTCTCGACTTTATCACCTGTATCAACTGGTTTTACACCAGCGTTCTTCACGTCTTCTGTATTGATCCCGCCACTTCTTGCTTTCGGTTTCCTCACATCCAGCTTTCACGAAAAGCACTTTGCTTGTGGGTTCGTTGCTGCTTGAGTATTTTCGTCTTTTTTATGAATATAGCTGAATGGTAGTCGAGTCGTTTTCCGGTTGAGTCCTAGAATAATCGTGTTTTATCGTTCCCAGTAACACCAATAGCCATATTAATGGTCGAGTGGCTCTCATGAACACAAATGTCTATTCATACTAGTGGCTAGCTGGAATTAGGAGATTTTGTGTGCTCGAATTAGGCCACTCATTACTAGATGAGGTCTTCTTATGTTTTTGGTGAAATGATACACATGGGTAACGTTAGGCAGCTGGACCTTATTGTGCTAGATACTGGATTTCCCTTTTGGTTTACAACATTGATCTACGTTCCAATGTAACTAGATTTTTCTAATGGCAAGGTATCATGTGAAATACAACAATAGTGATGCTGAGGTATTTGCAAAACTCCGGACTGCTGGTTTGTGCGGTGGGGACCGAATACACTATTGTCCTTCTCGGCGGCTAACGCGTTCACCACCACACCATGCGGGTCCTTTGTTTCGCTTTTTCTCAGCCTTGTTACTGACCTATAGGTGCTATCAGCGATCACCCGTCAACGGGATTAATCTGGGGAGCAGAAATCCGCACCGAACCTAAACTGAAGCTGTAATGTAAATCGAAATGTGCTTGCATTATTCACATACCCTACCCTGCCATCAGTAAAGAGTAGGCAGTAAATAAAAGATTACGACATTGTGATTTACACCACAGCTTCACCTTAACTGGGTTCGGTGTTGATTTTTTCTTCACCAGATCAATCCCGTTGACGAGCGATTGCTAATATCACTTAAAGGTCAATAACACGGCTGAGAGGAAGGCGAAACGAAGGACTTGCATAGTATGGTGGTGAATGCGTTAGTACCCGGAAAACGTAGTATCGTGTTCGGTCTCCACCGCAGACATCAGCGGTCCGGAGTCTTGCAAATATCTCAGCATCATTGAAGTTACCGTTCACAGTGCTTTCTTGCGACAGAATGTCTAGGTACTTTCAAATACAATCTCTCCCTACTGTAAACTAGAGCTGCTACTTGAAGATCAATACCTATGCTTCCTATGTCATTTTGTTAACTGCAGCTGATGTGTTCAATCTTTTGTAAAAAGAGTCGCTCGGAAAATAGCTGGCTCTAGACGTTTTCAAAGGACTCTCTTCACTTAAAACTTCCGGAAGAAAGAATTTTAGGCACATGCAGAATTAGTCCCAAATATGCTGATTTAGTTCCCAAGATCGACTTTCTCTTAACCTCGGCATTGGAATATGAATGTGTCGTTTTCTTGTTCAGCAATCGCGAGGTTTTTAAACAGCATACATTTACTTCCATAAAAACACAATACAATACAACGCTAGCTGACGTTTCGGCAGTATCGCCTTCTTCAGAGCCGCTTTTTCGTGACTTCCAATGAGGATATGCTGATTTATGTAAATTAAATGTGAAGCGACTCTGATTTGATGCAGTTTCGAGATGGTCTACTGAGATTGTCGTCATTTTCCGAATTGTTGTTGTAAGCAGCTGTGATCTTCAGTGCATCTATAGCGAAGATGACATTCTTTTGAATATCTTCGTGACTATACGCATTGATTTCAATACATAAACGATGAAAAAGGATTTGTTCCCCCTGAGTTTAAATAAGCATATCCCCATCAGCAAGTAACCTCACTAATTCTAATAAAAACAGCGAAGATCTTTAAATTTTTTGCCAATCACGTAGAGGTATTCCTGTTCTACTATGTTGAAACCCTAACCTTCTGGAGTCCAAAAATCTTTTCGCTCTGCTTTTTTTGCCCAGTGTGGTGCCACTTGGGCAGCCAAGCGATTTAAACAAGTGAAATTTTGCCATCGAGGAGATAAACTGTCTCTGACGGAACATATGCGTCGTATGGTATGGATAGTGTAGTTGTCGAAAAACCCACTGTATCGCTAAAAATGTTGAGTTCTGTTTTTCATTGTTCATTAGAGCTACTCGTAATTCCTTCCGTTACTGCCGTTTCGTCTTAATGTGGTTCGTTTTATTATGAGAACAGTTGTTCGGCTTTAGGTGTCCCCATGTTTGTCCCAAGGGCACGCGTGGCGCAGTGGTTGGAAGCGCCACTGCAACACAGACGTGGAATCCGTCCCCGTGCCCATGGCCCACCAAGCCTTCCATCACTCCGGGGTCGGCAAATTGGTACCAGAGTTGTCTGGGAGGGTAGCAGCACTGGTTCGATACATCGGTAGGTCATCGCGAGTCATTTTGTAAAGGTCAGATGTGTATTTAGTCACCTCCAACGATACTTAATGAAGTCGAATGCATAGCGCACCCCTCAGGGATTGGTCGACGCCGAGAGCTTTATCCTTCTATCTTTTATGTTTGTTCCATTTCTATCACTTTCAATCTCGTTGAACATGCTCTAATCGGTGAGGAACACTAGTAAAACGTATTTCTTGCATGCATGGTTCATTCTAATTCTGTGGGTTTTTGATTCATTACTTGATTAAGCGTTCATATAAAGCATGACAATCAGCGAAATAGCAACGGAATCACTTTAACATCTTTATGAAAGAAAAATACAGTTATCCAGTAGGTCAAGATGGTGGAATTTCAACTTCAATTCATAGTAATTGCTTACAATACGTCTCTTACCGGGAAGCGAAGTGGAGGTGAATCCTGCTCATTACGCGGACGCGGCAACCTACCTTTGTGCTGGTTGGAACTCGTCCTACCCCCACCAAGCTTCTCAACCCTTCGCGATGTGCTATACTATACCGGGCTTGCGTACGACAAGCTCGCTCTCTCTAACTCACGAGGAAATACCCTAGCACGGTTACTTCAGGATTCCAAAAAGAAATGACTCGGCTAGCATTCAGTGACATTCATGAAGAGGACGGAAATTCTCCAGGGGTAACCGAACCCACATACGAAAGAAAAGTTCGAGGACCTTCGTGGATTATGGATGCGAGGAGACGAATCGAATGGGAGAAGTGCTGAGAACCGCACAGTATGGTACATGTGATATGGCGTCATGTAGTAATAGGAAAACGTCACATGATTTGCATGGGACTCTTTATTTTTTACTTTTTTAGCTAGAAAAAACAAAGGCACGGACCATAGCATTGGTCTGTATATGATCATCACGTATAGTTTGTCTGGTTCTCTCAAGTAGTCATGGGACTTCTTTATTGAGTGTAACTCAGGTCCAATAAGCATACACTCGTAAATACCCACAAACGCATATGAGAATTTGTTTTTTTGATATGTGAACGGAGTACTAAGTTCGACCTTCGATGAATCAAAGAGAATGAGAATCAATCAATCTCAAAATCTACCTACATCTCAGTGCATCCATAGATCTGAGTTAAACCCTTTATGCACTACTTGACGAGCAAGTGGCCTGAATAGATCGCCTGTAGATCCCTTATGTAGAGTCTGTAATTCTCAATAATTTAAAATTTTTATCTAGGTTCTACAATGGGAGCGTTAGAATCAAAAGTTGATGCGGATGGAATTCACAAGGAGGCAAGTTGTTTTCCTTTTCCGGATGATGGAAATTTTCAATTTGAAATTATACAGAATCGTAATTTGGTGTAAGTACGAAAACGAATAAAGATAGATAGATTGTAATTACGTCCATAATTCAGTTTAGCGGCAGTACGTATCAGTGCATACACATGGAGCCAGTTATCCATCTAAGGCCTAGGTAACTTCAGCGTAACTGGGTTCAGTGCCGTTTTGTGCTTCCCGACCATTCTCGTTGACAGCTGATTGCCGTTAGCATCGTTAGGGTAGAAAATTGACTGGTAGAAAGGCAAAGCAAGGACCTCAGTGGTCCAGTGAACAATGAAAAAAACGGTAGGCATTAAGTAAAAAAAATATACATTATTACATGAGTTTACCAGGTGCTGGAATTCTACTGTACTTTATTTATCGAAAAATTGTCAACAATTGTCATAAAGTGAGCTTCGAACTTTAAGTTTCAAAGAACTATGAAGTCTTCAAGTTTTATTATAGTCGAAAAGTTATCCTCAGTTGTAGATTACATGATCATTACTGTTTTAAGAGACGATGTTAGTATGAGGTGTTTTGGTTAACTGCTAAATCCGAATCATTCTAGGTGACATCTGCGCATGTGATGATATATACGAAGGATGGTTGCACATTTTGTACGAAAGCTAAGGAATTACTGAACAATGAGAAAATGGAGTTAATAGTAAATTTTCTGATTCCTTCATGTCCAATAGTCAATAAATCTATTACAGATATAAAGAGTGTAACACAGATAAACTGAAGGAAACGAACCCGGAGCAATATAAGGGACGAGTGAACGGTTTGGTCTACATGACAAGGCAAACAACCATGCCACAGGTAAGGCCGTAGATGATTTCTAACTCATACGATGATAATAACTCGTTGAGAACGTTTCTGGACCACCTAACTGTTATTCTTGGTTGTTTCACACTTAATCAGAGCAGTGGCTAGAGGTGCAATGCAACAGTTGATCATGGGTTCGACCCCGCCACGCGGACTAACTGCCTTTATGTTTCGGCATCGCTAAATTGACGTCTCGTCTTTTTGGGAGGACAAAACACTGACTTTATAGATTGCTGGTCACCCGAAAGACACTATATAAGACAAAGATGCATTCGTTCACCTCTACGATTTTAAAGGGGGTCGACAGCTTATGAAGCAATCCAAGGAATTTGTCAAAACCGATGGGTTTCTCATTTTCTTGCCTTTTATATAAATCTAAGCAAACCACTATCTTTTCACACGAGTACGAAAATTGGGTCATGACTTGTTGGGACGTCTTTCGTATTTGCTACCTTCAATTTCTATAAACGTCTTGCCGCGATCCTAAGTATAATAATCCATTATGATTTAGATATTCATCTGTGGTAAATTCATCGGTGGATTCACGGATTTGGAAAAACTGCAAAAATCACGAGAGCTTTACGAGAGGCTGACCGAATGCACAACTGGCGATGATTGGAAAGAGTAAAAAGGAGCAACGCTGGAGATATCGTGACGGTCAGAACTATAGCGAAATTACAACTACGGATGTATCAAAGATTTCTAATGAACAAACATCGTCCATATTTCTCATGCGATATATTTATGGGATATAAAGTTGTGAAGTAAGCAAAAACATTAGGCATGAAATATAGTAAGGCTCATAGTAAAGTGAGATGTACTACCATGCATTGTACAAATCTTTTATTGTGCTACTATGAAATTTATGTCATTTTGAATCTCAGCATTCGAGTGTGTCAGGTTTGAAGCACGTTAGTATAGGATAGATAGTTGATAGAGGATAGAGTATTGATAGGGAGTGGAGAGAACATCAGACAATAAGTGGAATGACAAGCTTTTCTTCCTAAAGTAGTTCCATTTACTGTATAAACTTTTGTTCTCAGTCTGTTGTCTTGTATACTTATGCTGTTATATTTGTTGTTTTGTATCTTATAGTCGCTTGAAATTGTTCTTCTTTATTGTAATTGGTACCTTCTACATGAATAGGGAACATCTTTGTGGTTTGCTTCGCTTTCCTTTCAATGGGTGGGTGTTGTTGGAACGTAAACCTAGTTTAACGTTTTGTTTTCTGCCTTCTATAATTTTCATGGCAGGTTACTAAGCGAAATACAACCACAACGTTGCTGAGATATTTGCAAAACTCTGGAGCGCAGGTGTCTATGGTGGGGAACGAACGCGCTATTGTCCTTTCACCCGTCAGCGGAGTTTGCTGTGGCAAAAAGATCGATATAGCTGAGAGGCAGGCGAAACGAAGGACCCGCATGGTGTGGTGGTGAACGCGTTACTCCCCGGAAAGGACAATAGCGGGTATGGTGGGACGGCTAGATTATATAGGAATACCAAGTAGTTAAGATGATTCGGTCGGAATTTGCCGCTCGCCTTTGTGTA